AAGAGGCTTCGTGGCTGAGCAATAAACATGGAGAGATATAATTCTAACAGGTTTAACTCCTATCACTGGGCATTAGTTTAATTGGGCTGTGGGCCCGTGGCCCTGCTGACAGCAGGTCCTCTCTGAGCATTAGATCCTCCCACCCAGCTCCCAGAGCACGGTGACAGCTGCTCTTTTCAGGGAAGAGGAGGGGAGAGATTATGCTGTCTGGAATTGGATTTGCCCAGGTTAAGGTGGAAACAAAGCACAGCCATGTCTGGGGAGGGGGAGATCACCTCAGTTCACCAGCTGATATTTTCTACCAGGGTTTTCCTGCTCCCTCAAGAGCTAAACTGTGGCTGACACCGTGCCCTTCTCCAAAGGATCACAAGCGAGTGGGCACAGGGAGTCATGACTAATTCCTCGGCAGCCCAGGCAAATTGCTTTTCAGGACTACTCCTGGCCTAGATCTGACATCAGCCCCAGCACTGAGACAACAAAAAAGCCTCTCTGGCTCGCTGAGCCTCTCGGCAAAGCCACCCCCCTCTCCTGACTCCAGTCCCAGCCTCACGGAGAGCCAAAGGAGTTACATCCTAACAAATGCTGTTTTTTTTTTTTTTTTTTTTTTAATCCTTCCCCCTCACCATCCTCTTTTGTGGTCCGGTCTCTGCGAGTGGGAGATCCTTTACCCACAACCACTTCCCCTCTGATGGGCTTGGGATGCAGCCCTGGAGATGCCACACCTTCCCACTTCCTGCAGCGGGCTCCAGAGCCCAACATCTGGAATATCCCAGCCCTTGGCTGCTGCTGCTGCTGCTGCTGCTGTTCCCCAACGCCTGCACAGATGGAGTGCCTCAGCCTGCAACTGGGAGGTAAATTTGGGGGCCTGCAGCTCAAAGCAACACCATCCCTTCCACACCACGGCATGGAATGCCTGATCCCAGGGGATATCCGTGGTTTCCTGCTGTTTGTTCTGCTTTGAAGAGCTGCACTCTGCACTTGGCGTGAAGTTCCAAGGTTTTGGGCTTCCTGTTTTTTCTTTTCCTTATATCTGGTGCCTGGAGAGCACCAGCACCATCATCATCATCATCATTATCATCATCCCAGGGCAAGTGGAAGCCTTTTAGAAATCAGTTTCCATCTTTGTTGACACAAAATCTTTTCCCTGGGGAGCTGAGGAAGGAAGGAAGCAAAAGGAAAAGGCCTGGAAAGGCTCTGGGTGCTGAATGAACCTCTGCTGCCGGATATTCTGAGCTGTTCTATTTAATACACACACATGTATATATAAGCAAAGGCTGCCAACTGCTTCAGAACAGCACATTCCAGCAGCTCCAGGGAAGGGAAGATCTCAAAGGTGCCACCGCTCATCTGCAGGGAGCCTGAGCTCAGGGAGGGCTGATTTTAGGGGAGAAAAATCTCTCCCAACAGCAAACGCAGCAGGAGGGGAGGGAAACCAGCGAGGAAATGGAATATATTCAACTGGGATGTGAGAATGGGTGGGTTGGAGATGCCCAGCAGAGCTGCAGAGAAGTCGGTTCGTGCCCCAGCCTGGAAGGACATCGGTGTTGGGAACACTGGGAAAAGCAAAATGTGATGGAGCAAGGAGTGTGGGGGGTCCTGAGAGGAGCTGGGAGGGCTGTGAAGATGGTGCATGGCCAGCCCCTGGAAAAGGGCAGCTGAAAACATGGAAAAAAAAAAACACGGAGGAATTTTACCAGTCCTCGTCTTCGTCGCCTGCCTGGCTGAAATTCTGTACTGACAGTCTGGAGCTGTTACAGAAAATTGCTGCTCCACGGCAGCAGACAACCACCAAATCCTTTAAAATAAAACATGACAATCAAAGCCTTGAAGGGAGTGGTGGGATTAGCCCTCTGCCTCCAGGGAAAATGTCATGTCCCAAGGAGAAACTGCCCCACAAATGCAGGTGCCCACGCATCCTGCAGAATTAGCTGAGTGTCCCGGAGAGGAAGGATCAGGGATGTCAGTCTGTGCAGGGGATTAGGTCACCAACGCCTCAGAGGGACAAGTTCTGCCCCATGCTGCCTCTCAGGCCTCCTTTTTCAGAGCAGGTGTCCAGGTGAGTTTTCAGGGCCAGCTCCTGGGAGGTTCCACAGATTCTTTTTGATTTTTTTTATTTTTTTGGTTTTGTTTTTTTTTTTTTTTTTTTTTTTTGTTTTGGTTTGGGTTTTGTTGTTATTGTTTTTTGTTTTTTTTTTTTTTTTGGCACGGGACAAATGCAAAGCCAAGCTGCTTAAGAAGGGAAAATACCACAGCCAGCTGCAAGCAGCAGCACTTGGGGTAGGAGCCTCAAATCCACGGGAATACAAAATGCTTTTTTAATTTGCTTTTAAAGCAAATGCTGTGCAGCACAAATTAATTCACGCCCGAGCACTAAGCATCTCAGCTTATAAGCCTTTCTTTGGAAACAGTTATATTCAGCGATCTGAACCACTCCTCCTCCTCCATCTGCTCCGAAAGGATGAACAAACAAGCCATTGCTGAAAGAAGGAAGGAAGGAAGGAAGGAAGCAAACCCGTTCAGCCATCTCCGAGGAAAACTGTGCCAGACCAAGAGAGCTCTTTTCCCCCACCCCACACACGCGCGCACACACACACATACACACACCCTTCCCCAAAAAAAAAAAAAAAAAAAATTAAAAAAAATTTTTAAATTATCATTTCAACAGATCCCAAACCAAAATATTCTGCCTGCATGGGGCTCCCCCTCGCTCCTCTCCTCGCACGAGGAGCCGAGCGCTGGTCACACGCGGCAACAGGTTCTGCTGCTCCAGCTCCCTCCCACACGCTGCAAAATGGGACGAGTCAAAGTGCTGGCTTGACTCATCAGCCACATGATCCAAGGCTGGAGCTAAAAAGGGGGAACTGGTTTACTCACTGTCTTGGGTACAATCTGTTTCTTGGGCTGCCCGATCTTGAACGGGATCCTGGAAAAGAGAGAGGAGAAGGGGATGTGTGAGCGGCCATGGCGCCGGGCACGGCGCTGGGGGCCGGGCTGGGGGTACCAGGGGGTGTCCTGGGGGTACCAGGGGGTGTCCTAGGGTAGGTTTGGGGGTCAGCCCCTCATTCCAGGCACTGGGCATCCCCCGGAGAGGAAAAGGGTGGGAGAGACCCTGGGGAGACTTTTCAGCTTCATCCCAAGGGGCAGCTCCATCGCTGCTCCGTGACAGGACCCAGGGAATGGCTGGAGCTGCACCAAGGGAGGGTCAGCTTGGATTTTAGGGAGAGATTCTTCCCCCAAAGACTGGAATAAACACTGGGGCAGCTCTCCAGGGAATGGGAAGAGCCCTGAGGCTGACAGAGCTGCAGGAGTGTTTGGGTGACACTCCCAGGGACGCTCAGGGTGGGATTTTGGGGTGTCTGTGCAGGGCCAGGAGCTGGATCAGTGACCCCACGTGTCCCTTCCAGCCCAGGACATTCCAGGATTCCATGACAGTGCCTTTGTCTGGATGATCCTTGCGGATCCCTTTGATTCTCCAAGAGCCAGTGGCACCCCTGAGCTCAGCCCCACACATCCTCCCTGCACCCCAAATCAAGGCAAGGATGCTCCACAAGCACCTGAAGAAGCTGCTCTGTTTAAAAACCAAATCTGCTGGGGAGGATAAAATAATACTAAAAAAAAAAAAACAAACAAAACACCAAAACAAAAACCCAAACAAAGCCTGTAAATATTTAGAAAGAGGATATTAAAAAAAGTAACAAGCTGGTGTCTGGAGCTGCGAGCTGCTTCAAAGGATTCCTCTGCTCCAACAGCTGGAGGAGAGGCTCACCTGCCAGCACAGCCTTCATTCTTAAAATCCCTAATTCCCAGGAAAATCTGGGTTACCTGAATGTGAAGAGTACTCTAAATAAATTACACAACATATGTAAGGGTGGCTGGGTCAGCTGGGAGCAGCCACGCAGGCAGCCTGAAAATAATTGGATTTCTTTCACCTATCAGTATAATGAAAATCCAGGAATTCAACTGCTGTTGTCAATGGATTTAATTAAGTTAAAGAGGTGCTGCTTGGTTAAAGCATCTCAGCCAAAATCTCCCAACGTTTTCTGGGTTGTGATGCTTTAAATAAATAGGAAAAAAAAAAATCGAGGTCATAATGACATTAAAGCGTTTTTTTTTTGCCAGAGATGTTTCACCTACAGCTCAGCTTCATCCCATTCCAAATCTGCACCAGGAGCTTCTGGGAAAGTTCTGAGCCTCCTCCTGATGATTTGGACTGGACCAGCCCAAATTCTCATGTTCCTACACAAAACTTGAGATAAAAACCACAGATTTTGGGGCTGTGTTGGTCCTGGCTGCTTCCCAGTCTGGCTTTTCCCACTGCTGGTTTTCCATTTGCTTCCCACCAGTTCCACTTCCAAGGCCCCAGCACTGCTCCATCCAACAGCTGGACCCCCAGGAAATATTTTGATCAGTGTGACCTGCTGCAAAATCCAACTGTGTGCAACAGGAGAAAGAGTTTGTAATGGGAGGATGGGAGAGATGAAGAAAAAATTTGGATTATCCCAACTCCAAACCTCGCTCTTCCCATTTTTTTTTTGGTTGTTTTCAAACCAAAGCTGTAATTACCCAGCAGGAATAATCCAGGCCTGCACCCCCTGTGACCCTCCCTGAGCAGCTCTGGAGCCAACCTGAGTCACTAAGTTTAAATTTAAAATTTTTTTTTTTTTGGGGAGAACTTCCTGTTTATGGTTCGGTGTAATTTTGGGTTTAACCCTTTCCAGCTCCTGTGGCAGTGTGAATCACCCTTCTTTTCCAAACAAACACCACTCTGCTGTATAATTTCCCTGTCAATAACTGGGGGTGTGGTGCCTTTACAGGAAGAAAATAAAAATATATGGATTCTTTTTTTTTTTTTCCCCCCTCTATTTGTGTTTTCCTTCATGGGTCAAATATAAACCAAAATGAGGCACCTCCTGCCTGCCATCCACAGCCAGGTGCTGTCACTTGATGTTTTTGGAAGTGATGGCATCAACTTGGTGGTGAAAGGATAAAAAAAAAAAAAAAAAAAAAGATTTTACTCAGGGCAGTGTTATCCCTGTTAAAACCAGTTTGCCACTCTCAGCAGGGAGTTGGAATCCCTGTAATTTTGGCAGGTTTGGGGTGTT